TAAATTTAATTTAATAGCTTAAAACTTATACTATTTAATATTTTAAGTATTTTTTAAAAATGTACTAAAATTTTAAGTAATAAGCCACCTACTTATCATTTAATGCTTAAAATATTAGTCAGTAAGGATTTTATTAATTTCTCATAATAGACAAATATACTTTCACCACCATTGTGTCATCGCCACTACTACCAACACTATCACTACCATTGCCACTACCACCATCACCATCGCTGCCACCACCTCTACTATTGTGTCACCACCACCATTGTCGCCACCACCTCCACCACCATTGCCACCACCACCACCACCACCATTGTGTCGCTGCTACTACCATTACCATTATATATGTCGCCACCATCACCATTATCATTATGTCACTGTCACTACTATCACCGCCGCTACCACCACCACAATTACTACCACCACCATTGTCGCCACCACCTCCACCACTATTACCACCACCACCGTCACCACCATTGTGTCGCTACTACCACTATTACCATTATATTGTCACCACCACTATTATCATTATATCACTGTCACTACTACCACTATCACCATTATAATCGTCGTCGCCGCCACCACCACCACTGTCAGTGTCATTGCCACAACCATCACCACCACCATCGCCACCATTGTCACTTCCATTGTGTCGTTGCCACCATCACCACTGTTGCCACCACCACCACCACCACTATTATGCCACCGCTACCATTGCCATTATCGCCACCACCACTACCATTGCCATTGCCACAACTACCACCATTGTTATCGCCGACACTATTATTTTGTCATCGCCACAACCACTGCAGTGTTGTTGCCGCCACCGCCACCACCATTATTCACCACCACTATTACCATTGTGTTGCCGCTATCACTACCACTACTATTGTGATGATGATTATAGGAATAAGACAATTGCGAAGAGATGGTTAAAAAGAAGGAAAAAATTAAAATAATAATAATTTTTGGACTTCAACTTCTTATATTTGTCAAACAGTTTGATTAAATTTAATACTTAAATTTTAGTTGATACCAAACAGTTTGTTAATTAAAAAATTCAGCATTCAGTTTTCAATATTCAACTTTTAGTTTTATGAAATACTACCTTAGTGATAATAACCAGCTCTCTCTCTCTCTCACGCGCACACAGCCCCACGCGAAGGGGGATAAGCATACAAGAATGAGGAGAAGATGAACATACAAATTATAATGCAGAGACCTCTCGTATGACCATTGTCACACTCAAGCATTATCTAATGGATGATTAATTAACTTTAAAAGAAAGATTAATTAACTTCATCTCTAAAAAATAACTTGACTTTTAAAAGTTGTGTTTTTCAAAATCAATCACAACATTTACTCTTATTATAACTCAAATTTTCAAAAGATTGTAATTTGATATTAAAATATTATAAATTTCAGTTAGGTACCTACGTGCACTTTCTTAATCCGAAACCTTCTACCTCAAAAATACTGGTTCAAACTTCAAAGCTAAAAAGTTCCAATGGGGGTCCTTTTTCCGATTGTACCTAAATTTACAATGTATAATTACTCAATTTGGATCTAAGAACTTGTTGTAGTAGAGTCTTGGGCAGTCAAGCTCGTTCTCCAATCTTCCTGGTTAGCTTCGCAGCTACTTAATGACTGTCTTATTAGATAGATAAATATGGTACGTCCCACTCTATAAATTTAAGCTTTTGGTATGATATTTATTCAACATAGTATAAGACTCTACAGAATTGAGTCAAATCCTACTAGGCCTCCTTTTTTGGTACTTAAAAAAGAAAAAAAAAATAGAATTAGACCGCCGAGAGGGCAGTGGCGGATCCAGAAATTTGGGATAGCTGAGGCAAAAATTTTAGCAACAACAATACTATATATACTAAATTGGAAAAGCTAATGCATTATTACTGTTGAATTAACAAATAAAATGCATTTAATGTTGATACCCTTTGCTAATTCTACAATAACAATGCGTTATATTATCAAATTAGGCTATCATGTTAGTAACATTTGTTTGACAAAAGTAAAATTTAAAACTTTAAAGTAATAATAAATTAAATGAGGTGGCCCAACGTATGACTTCTGCAATTGCATATGGAGTAAGATGTACGTATTCTTATCTTGCATGTGCGAGAGTACTTTTTTTTTGCAGCTTGAATCCTTGACATTAAAATCAGAAAGGAGCAACATATATCTTATCTTTACCATCTTATTGACTAATTTTTATATTATAAAAATAATACATAATAATGTTATCATTCCATGTGTCAAAATTTACAAAGATGAGAGTAAGGGGGGCTTCATATGAGGGAGATAACAAAAAGCTTCGAAATTTTTTGAACACATATTGAAGGATTCAACTAAATAATCAATAACAAAGTAAAGAAATTTAATCTTAATGTTAAAAATTATTAAGTAAATTAAAATGTACATGAATTTTTGTGGGGGCAAATTTATAATATATTAAAATTTATATAAAAAAATGTTTTAACAAAAAAAATTGAGTTTGGGCAACTGGCCCCACAAAGATAAATGTAGCTTCGGCCCCCACAAGAGGGCCCACACATGAGGAGAAGTATTAGATAAATACATATGCAACATATCTCTCTGTATGAGTTTAAGCTTTATATGATACGGTGGTTCAACACAAAAACTTTGCACGCTGAGAATATATTGTTTTCTTTATTTCTTGGGCATATACACCGGTTCGGTATTTATAAAGCTAAGAGGTTGTAGCCATGAGTTTTTATTCCCACACAGCCTCAGCATATATTATGGTTGAAAACATTTGATCCTGAGGTGAGAACATGGGTATTTTTAGCTCAAAGCCCCTTAACTAGGCTAAGTGTTGAATCATTTGGAACTTTAGACTGCAGTTTCATAAATATAGTATCATTTTAGCCGCATTTAAAAGTCAAGTTTCATAACTACATTCCCTACAAACCACACTCAATCAACACTAATGCCATATCAAACAAGGTCACTCAATGCTGTTGCATTTATTTCAGTGCATGTTAAATGCGTTTCAATCTCCCATATCTAGGGCTATTCGTAACTTCAGATCAGCTTCTTTTTCAAAGATTCTTTGGCTTCAATAGGGGTCAAACTTAAAAATTAATAATAAATAAATAAATAAAATAGGGGTGCAACTATGTTAACCAAAACTTATTTTTCGATATCACATCTTCTGCTTTTAACCAATATGAATGTGACACAGATAAAGTTTTGTTATTTTACTTTTTATTTCGTTATTTGTATGATCAATGCTTATAAATGAATCCACCGAGAATCTATGATCACATATTATATTCGTTATGGTATTAAATTTTTTTTTGGATAACATAGCCTTATAGCTTTAATGTAACTGTTCTGTGTCGATCACATAATGGAAGATTAATTAATTTCCTGATACGGAAGAGCAATTGTCAATGATGTTGACGAATCGAGCATCTTGCATGTTGGTGTTTCTCAAATTTAACCGCGATATCAGTTACTTTTATAAAGATGGGTTGCTGAACAATTTGACAAATTTTTTTTTTTTTGCCGTGTGGGATTCCATTTGAAGGAGAGATAATTAAGTTGCAGTAACCTGTTGCCGTGTGGGTTCACTGGATAATACCCGGTTTGATATCTTCTTAATCTTGGGCTCAATCCTGACCAGAAATCTACTGCTTGCTCTAAAGTTTACTGATAGCAATCAATAAGTTTGGTTATATTTTAGGATTTTATTTTTTCAACTTTCATGGGATAAGTTAACAGAAGATCAACAAATTAATTTGCCCTGTATTTAATCTCCGTGTGTGTGTGTTTGAGGGAGAAAGAGAGGGAGGGAGGTCACATTTTATTATCATTTAGCACACATATCTTATTAAGGAGCTTGAGTATGCTAACAAGAATGAACAGATGTGATGATAAGATTGATACGGCCACAATCATTACACCCAGAACTAACTATGGACATGAGAATCAGCACATCTTGANACGTCACATTTTATTATCATTTACCACACATATCTTATTAAGGAGCTTGAGTATGCTAACAAGAATGAACAGATGTGATGATAAGATTGATATGGCCACAATCATTACACCCAGAACTAACTATGGACATGAGAATCAGCACATCTTGAGTCGGCATCTCTTTAGCAGAATAAACTCTCCAATTATACGATATGACGATTTGTAAGTGATTATTTGCATACAAGATTTGCATTGCAACTATGAATTTTTGTGATTAGATTCGGTCGAAAAAAATGGCGATCTCTATTATCAATATGTTGAACGCAAATGCATAAAGAAATTCACATATAATGGAATGAAACATATAGAGTACAACTAANATTTATACGATATGATGATTTGTAAGTGATTACTTGCATACAAGATTTGCATTGCAACTATGAATTTTTGTAATTAGATTCGGTCGAAAAAAATGGCGATCTCTATTATCAATATGTTGAAGGCAAATGCATAAAGAAATTCACATATAATGGAATGAAACATATAGAGTACAACTAAGAATTTCAACACTTACAATGGTCAGTTGTGTCAAAAAGAATGACTAGATTCAGTTGTGTCAAAGGCTGCTATAGTCTTCACTAAGTGCAATTCTTTGCCCTAATGTTCTTTTGCCAGAAGAGAATGACAATAATAACCCTTATCGCTTGATCCTGGTGGTCCCAACAAATAAACTGATATTCTCCCATTTGTTTCTTTTCTATACTGCATTATTTTTAGCTCACCAAAAGTCTGCCCTAATCTCTCTCTCTCTCTCTCTCTATATATATATATATATATGTCTATCTCTCTCATATCTAATTGTGATAAACCTAGTTTGGATGTCACCAAGCTCCTTTGGTCTTCTTCTATCTGATTTTCTAGCTAATAAGTCCATCATTTGTATAATTCTCCATATACATGCTGTTTCAAGGGCTCATTAAATAGTCTCTCTGTCTCTCTCTACAGAAATCAACAAGTTTCTCATTTATCTAATGGATATCAATCATCAGAAGTTTACAAGCACCACATGGGAGCTTGAAATGGCCATGGAAGACCAAATTCCCCACAACCAAATTCCCTTTGACACACTTTGGCCTAGCTTCCCTCTCCAAAACCATCAACCACCCTCCACTTCAACACAACTACCTGTCTCCAGTTTTTCGGGAGATCAAGTGGGAAATCAGCAGATTACAGAAGAAGAAGAGCCAGAAGAAGAGCTGGGAGCCATGAAAGAGATGATGTTCAAGATCGCAGCGATGCAACCAGTGGATATCGATCCAGCTACAATTCGTCGCCCCAAAAGGCGAAACGTGAGGATCAGTGATGACCCGCAAAGTGTCGCCGCACGCCTCCGCCGAGAGAAAATAAGTGAAAAAATTCGAGTTCTTCAAAGATTGGTCCCTGGGGGAAGCAAATTGGACACTGCATCCATGCTAGATGAAGCCATTCTATATGTTAAGTTCTTGAAAAGATTAATTCGTCAACTACAAGCTGATCATCATCCCCCAGGTATTGGAAGTACAACGTGCCCCCCTACTGGAGATTGGCCAATTACATTCACGTCCACAAATGTTCACGACTCCGCCACCACCTCCTCCGTGGAACACCCGGTGGCAGGTTTGAGGTATACATTCGGAGGCGGTGGTGGTATTGATGCTATGTGCTTCAACCACAAGGTAATTAACGAATAATATGTTTGTGGGTGGTGGTTATTGTGTTTCTATTAAGATGGTGTATATAGTGGTGACTTTGAAGCCAATTTGTGTAATCTTAGGAGGGGGAAAAAAGCCAATTTGTGTAAGGGTATTTAGGAGAGCCAAGTGAGCCAAAGGTTTGTTAGGATTCTGTTGACTATAGGGGAATGAAATAATCATAACGGTTAGCTTGTGTTACGTACAACAAATATTATATGTGCAGAAAATATATATAATAAGGATTATGATTGTGGCCAGAAGTCTGTTTGGGCAACACTCTCCCGGGAATTGAACTGTGACGTGAGGTTCTATTGAATATAACCTCTCTCTCTCTCTTTCTCTCTCTCTCTTATGAGTGCCTATATTGACATATGTGAGCCTATGGATGGCAGCTATGTATGATACATCAAGGTATGTACATCTGTTTTATCTGCATGATGATGTGTTTTCATTATGATGAGTAAGGAAATTGTAAAAAACAAATTGATGGCAAGAGTCATAATTGGGTTCACCGGTCCAAAAGATTGGTTTTACAGCACAGATAAATCCCTATAGAACGCAAGTGATCATGAAAATCCTATAGACACTGTCAGAGTTTTTAGCATTTTAGGGTTCATAGGTCTCATGGCCCTTCTTCCCCAACTCTACCAACTTGACTTTGAGCAGGTCAAGCTCAGCGTAGCATAATCAATGTCTCTCCCCCTCCTCCATCCACCAGAAAAAAAACAATGTTTAGGAAAGTCCGACAAAAACAAGTTTTATGAATGGTCTTGCCGTCTTGGCATACAAGAATTTTACACTTAGGACTTTTTCAAGGTTTTGGTGTAGCAGCAAATGCCAGAGAAGGTCATGGGAAGTTTACATCATAAGGCTAAATTCTACCCGCACTATCTTTAATTATCAAATCAAACTAAATTAAGTCTTATGTTTCAATCATTTAAGGTCGACTATATGAGTTCGTCTTTTCTATTCTTTTCGATCATACATTATATGCTCATTTAAGGTAAGCATTTTCATATATTTTATTATTATTTCGTTCAAAGTTAATTTGGATCTATCCCTTACTTTTACTGTCATTAAAAGAAATTCTATCACTTCTTTCGAACCGGTGTCTTTCTTGGCCTTCGTTGAATATGACAAAACCATCTTAATATATTCTTTCTTAACTTATCCTCAATTAAAACTATTCCTACCATTTCTCTAATAAGGTCATTTTGTATTCTTTTATTTTTAGTTTTTCCATAATTCACCTTACCATTCTCATTTCCGCTACACTCATTTTGTTACTATGTTGTTTCCTAGTTGCCTAATATTCCGTCTCGTACAACATTATTGTCTTTATAGCTGTTCAATAAAACTTACGTTTTAATTTTATTGGTATCTTTCTATCACATACAAAAGAAAGGGGTATTCCACTAGAACATGCAACAAAAGCATCAAAAGTAAAAAAAAATGTGAGGGTGCACATTCAACATTAGCACCTTAGCCAAAGTTTGGCAAAAAAAAATACAATCAATACAAATAGTGTAGTAAGCAGACAAATGATATCACACAAGACAATTATTTGGTAACCTCCATTTGTGTATGATCTCCATATTCTCCAAGTTGAGCTTGAACTTTAGGATGTCATTCTATCTCTCATAACCTGCTCAATTGTTTTCAAGATTACACTACTATCTTTGTATTAGTTGGAATGGATTCTATTATTCCTTTCCTTCCAAATGCAATATACTATGATTGCCAAGCATACTTTCCTCATTACAGTTCTCCTAGACTTGCCCTTCCACTATTGTGCTGCCCATTGGATAAAAAACAGGTGCTCATGAGTCTCAAGAGCATTTCTGCTGAAAAGACATTGGAGTCCTAAGTGAGCAGCAAAGGATTGTGTCCTGTCTTTCATGCTAAGTCTTTGCCTCACTGCAAGCCATAAGATGAAACTCATTCTAGGTATGTATTGACAATACTAAATGAGCTTAAACTAGGCCACATTAGGAACAACAATCCTAATTTGGTTCCATGCTAAGACTGTGGAGAAATTCCCATTGGAAGTCAAGCTCCATTTCGCAAAGCCCTCCCTAGTTTGAAAGGGGGTATGGTTGGGCATTGTTTCACCAATATTTATCATCTCAAGTGAAGAAATAATTGGCCATTTCCATTGATTTTTAGACACTATATAGCTGACAGAAGCCCCTTTAGGAAGACATAAATCTTGTCTTGTATAATATAGAGAGGCCATTTAGTTAAAAAAAAGGACCTTGAGGGTGTCAATTATTGAACCATAAGCTAGTAAGTTGTCCATTGCCAATATGATGGAAATAAAATGTCTGACTACTTCCCTCGGCTTCAAAACATTGAGTTGCAGTTTTTTATTCCTAATGCAAAGATTAGCCTTAGCTCAACCCAAGTCATAAAATCCTTTGTTGGAAAGTAAACTTGAATTAGGAGATAGTGTACTAATGGATTGTTTTCATTCGGTGTGTTTTAATGCTGGAACAAATGGGTGCTAGTGGCACAATAATGTAGCATGCAGTGGGGGTGTGACATATTAGTGGTATTAATTATCCAAATATGGAAGAGAGTAGTATTTTGATATTCTATTGGTTACAAGAGTTACAGGAGATAGTGGTGTAATCAACTAGAATAAAAATTTTAAAACTGCTCAATCTCCCCTCTATTTCCATTGTACTTCCAGTGCACTTGCTTCCAACAAAATGGTATCATAATCAATTTCTAATTTTCTGTTAATTTTTCTAATCATAATAAGTTGGAGAAAATTCATCCAATCATAGTAAGTTGGAGAAAATTTAACAATGTGGTATTGGAGCCAATATGATTCCGAAAATTCAGATAGATCACTTGAAGAGCTATTATGATCTTGGAGGTGTTGATAGATCATCACGATCACGAGATTCACCAAATATGGATTTTTGGTGTGACAATGTGATGTTCTTTAATTACAATAAAATGAAGATTATTCGCACTTCATAGATAAAAAAAAATGTGATTTATGCGGCATGATTGGAAAAAAAACCTTGAGTGGCTTNTATATAAGGTAAAACAGGAGAATTGAGCTGAATTGAAGAACTTGGTAATTTGACCAGACGGATGAAGATTACAAGGAAATCAAGGGGGTCAAAGTGCAATTACTTGTAAGGTCAACCGTCAACATTTCTTGGATAACATGGTGTGTTCGGATGCAATTCTTCTGCCCAAACATGAGGGTTGAAGCAAAACAGNTAGTTGGGCATTGTATCACCAATATTTATCATCTCAAGTGAAGAAATAATTGGCCATTTCCATTGATTTTTAGACACTATATAGCTGACAGTAGCCCCTTTAGGAAGACATAAATCTTGTCTTGTATAATATAGAGAGGCCATTTAGTNTCAATGCTTGAAGAACACGAGTTTATAAAAAAAAAAAAAAAAAGTGATTTTCAAGTTGTACCAACGGATGATCGATAAGAGCATCATTTGAATGAAGTCAAACAAGTTGAGCAGACCAAAGTTGAAAAAAATATTGAGGAGGCAAGAGAGTCAAAAATGAATTTTGTGAAGTGGTTCAAACAAATGCGAAAGAGCTCATTGAAGAAGTGGAGAGGAATGAAGGAAAAATCTAGGATCCTTACACAGTTGAGGATTCTGAAAATGAGATTTTATGATGTAGTATTCAAAAAAATAGGTATTAGAAACCAAATATGAAAAATGAATCATTTAATGGAGTTTTTGAGAACTATGATGAAGGTTTGATGAATATGGGGGCCTTCTTTAATCCAAGAGAGCTAGCACAAGAAAAATTCAAAAAGCATGAGAAGTTTAAGAAAAAGAAAGATGAATGCGAAAGAGCCAACAAGAAAATTGAAAAAATGATCATTATTATAAGCCTGACCACACCACAATGGAGATGACTTTGAAGAAACTTGTTAGTGAAGGAGGTGGAGCTCAACTTCATGAAATTATCAATATTTCGACGAACCCCCTCGTTCATGTAGTGTTTTGCAAGGTAGGAAACTGGTGTTACAAAATCAAGTTTTAAAGAGAGTGTTGGAAAGTAAACCTGATTTATAAGATAGTGTAAGGAGGTGGCTCAATTTCTTAGCATACATGCAGAGCCGTTTTCTTAACCACGAAGAAAATAGATTGGGGAACTCGAAGTTTGTTGCAGACACATGCATGGCTGGTCTTTGGAAAAACTTTTATCCAATTTTTTTCTTGCTTGAAAAGAATCAATATGATTGGTTTTTGGGAGTTAGAAAATGCACGTGTCTTTGATTTGTCATTAAAAGTATCAGTTCCTTATTTATTATTTATGACAAATTACATTGATTTTGAGCTATTAATTGAATAATCCTTTGCTTTATGCTTTGATTGATTTTTAGGGTTTGGTGATTATATAAGGTAAAACAGGAGAATTGAGCTGAATTGAAGAACTTGGTAATTTGACCAGACGGATGAAGATTACAAGGAAATCAAGGGGGTCAAAGTGCAATTACTTGTAAGGTCAACCGTCAACATTTCTTGGATAACATGGTGTGTTCGGATGCAATTCTTCTGCCCAAACATGAGGGTTGAAGCAAAACAGCTTTAGAATTTGGCTACATGGGCGGCCCAACATGTTTGGGGGCACTAGGAAAAAATTTTAAATTAGGCTCTATTAATATATTCTACAATAATATAAATAATTGTCAAAAGTTAAATTATTTAATATTTTTTTCTTTTTTGAGATTCAAAAATATTAATTGAATTTTTAAATTCAAGTTTTATACATTAAAATTCAAATAACAAAAGTCGACTCCTTGACCAAATATAATTAAGTTAATTTTCTATTAAAGATATGGAGAAAGAGAACGAAAATTTAAACTAACTAACAAAATGATTATTTTTTCCAGAACAAATGTAAAGGTTAAAATTTGTGTAAGTTAAATGGTATTAGAATATGTGAAACATGTTTTAATATTGCAGAGAATTATCAAAATGTTTTAACTAACAAATTTTCGCAAGACAATTATGGTTATAATTAGTTTCAGATAGGGAGATATTCTACTCACTCTATTCTATAGTTATTTTTATATGCTTTAAAAAAATAATTAAGTAAAAATCTATCTTAA